TTACTTCTCAGCACTTCCTCTGCTCCCACTTGATCCAAGCCACGTTTACTCCTCGGCTGGATTATTGAAATAGCTCCCTCGCCACCCCCCTCCCTTATCCCAGCTTCCCTCTGTTTTGAATCCACCAGCCAGAGGGATCTTTTAAAATGCAGGTCAGATTGGGTCTTTCCTCTGCTCAAACCCTCCTATTGGGTCCCATCTCACTCACAGAAATACCCAAAGGAGACCCTACAGACTCTGATGCCAACCAAGCTCATCTCACTGGCTTCATCTCCTGCTGCCCCTCTGCACTCACTCCAGTTCAGCAACACTGGGCTCCTTGCTGTTCCTCCTGCACACCACACACGCCCTGACCTCAGGACCTTTGCACTGCTGTCCCCTTAGCCTGGAATGCTCTTCTTCTACCCATGCGCACAGCTCTCTTCTTCGCTCACTTCAGAGCTCTGTTCCAATGTCATCGCCATCGCGGGGCCTTCCCTGACCACCACGTATAAACTATTACTTATTACTTATTGTTGTTATTATTACTTATTATTTAATACTTATTACTATATGATTGAGAGAGAGAGAGAGAAAATCCCCGCCCTCAACACTTCCTGGGCCCCAGTTTTGTTTTCCTCCACGGCGCTGACCAGCTTCTGACATGTCGCTTGTTTATTTTCTGACCCCCACTGGAGGTGCAAGGGCGAGGATTCTTTCTTTTCATTGTGCCGAGAACAGCATAGGGTGGAAACTCACAAACACCTGAAGAATGAGCCAGTATGCACCAGATGGACACACACACATATGCTAGCATGCACGATTGCAGACCCATGTCCACAGGCATGTAGGATCCACACCCATTTACTCGAGAGCCGGATAGCACATGGCTTACAGGAGGTGAGGCTGAGAAGCGGACGGTGAAGCCAACACTAACTGAGCCAGGCTGGGGCTCAACTTTTCATGGGATTCAACAACTGCGCAGTAGGATGAGACGTGTGGCCCAGAGAAGGCCACCCACACGCCCAAGATCTCAGCGGGAGGCCCGGTGGAGCCAAACGTGACCCCACGGCACTACAGCTGCCTCCCCTGAAGGGCTCGGAACGCCAGGACGGGGCCCTGTAGCTGATACCCACTCAGGACAAGCAGCTGGAACAGAAGAGGAAGGAAGGGAGGGAGGGAACAGGCTGGAGTGTCTGCAGCAGCCGCGGTAGAGTCGGCTGGAGGCCAGGGCAGCTGGCCAACACGCCCGAAGGCGGACCCGGTGGGCTGGGTATGAAGGCCCAGGGAGGAAGGGAGAGATGGGGTCGTGAGGACCTTGCCCCTCAAACAACAGTGCAGGATCAGCACTGTACAAGGGCGCCTGGCCTGGGGCAGGTGGGGGCTGAGAGGTGGCCACCCTTGTCCTGCCAAGCGTGCCTCCTGGCCTAGGGCTGATCCACTCAGAGGGGCATCTTTTCCCATCCTCCTAAAGGTGCCCTCTGCCGAGGGGAATCCAAGTCCTGGGTTCGAGGCTCCACCCCATCGTCAGACATCCTGTGCAAATTTGGACCACACTCTTGGACTCCACCCCTTTCTAAAGTGGGATCTGACCGTAGGCCCCTGCAGCCTTCCCATAGAGCGCACCCTCTCCTCCCCAGCACCCCAAACGCTACCCGCCACAATCCTTCCTGTGCCTCAACTCCAACTGCCACCTTCTCTGCGATGCTGTCCCTACTCCGCGATTCACTAGGCCTGGCCCTCCAACGTTGACGGGCTTGCATCATGAAAGTCCCTTATGGCCGTGTACCATTTCGTTCTACCATGGCTTTTTACTGCATAAAGTCCCTCCAAGCCTTTCTCTGCACGCTCAGAATTAAATGGACACTGCTTCTCTTCCTCCAGTCCTGCCCATCATGGCCTGTACCCCTCTCTCCTTCATCTTCATCTGTACTGCTCTGTGCCAACCACAGTGGCCTCCCCCCTCTTCCTCAGCTTCTCCCAGCCTCTGGACTTTTGTACATACTGCTCCATCAAACCATACTGTCCCCAGCTCCGTCTCATTCCTCCAGATCAGCCAATGTCACCTCCTCTGAGAGGTCCTCCCTGATACCTTGTCTATAATAACACGCACCCTAACTCTTTCATCATCCTCTTCCTTCCTCTTTCCTGCTTTATATTCCTTCTTAATACTTACCACTCTCTGGAATTGCATTGTAGATTTTATTCCTCTGTTACCAGAAGGTCAGCTCCATGAGAGCTGGGACTTTATTTTATTACTTTGTCCCCAGTGCCTAGCGCAGGAACTGGAATCAAGGAGGCATGGGTAAATATTTGTAGAAAGAGTTTATGAATAACCAGAAGAAATGCATCTCTCTCCTGTCACATTGCTGAGGAGCTGATTGCATCTTGCTGTCTTACACAAAGAGGTGATCTTTAAAGTGTGTTGAATGAATAAATGAAATGCATTTCTGTCTCCCCACTTGTAGCAGACACTAATGTTTAATGAATGGATGAATGATTGAATCTTAGTGTGTCCCCGTCTTGTAAAAGGTATTATAAAGAAACACATAAAGAAGAGAGGGGGATGGGGGAAGAAGAAAGAGCCACAGTGGGGTGCTTGCAAACACTGAGGGATCACCCCTTGTTCCCACTTCCTGCACCCCCCACAGCCCTCCCGGAGATGGTCTCCACTTCCCCAAACCCTCCCTCCCACCAGCCCCTCCCCTTTGCATCCCTGCAGGGCTGTGATGAGCCCTGAAACTGCCTGATGGAGGCAGGGGACCAGTTCCTGCCACGCGCAGGGAAGACATAAGCTCCAGGAAATGAAGGCCTCGGAGCGGCGCCTCCTCCTCACCCATAACTCCAGTCTCATTAGGACTAGCCCTGGCCATAACGTGGGGAATCGACGCTGGATGCCCAGAGGCAGCAGCACAGCTCAGGGACCACCCGGGTGGGGAAGGGTCTGCCAACATCTTCAAGCCTAGAACCCCCAGAGTGGGGTGAGGAGGGGGTGGGGTCCTGGGGATGCTCTCATCAGGGTCCCAGGTCCTCCTGATGTCCATCAGTTCAGGGTGGGTCCTAAAGGGAAAGAGGGCTGGCTCAGGATGCTTCCCTTCCATTCCTCTTACGGACTGTGGGGGGGTTTTCCCATTTTCACTGCCCTAAAATGTAGTTTTGACTCCCTCACTACTGCCCCTACCTCCCAGCAGATGACTCCCTCCCCCAGAACCCCTTCCATAAAGAAATTCTGGAGCTGAGAGGGGGAAAGAGCACTGGGGAGTTGAGCATCTGTGAAATGGGTATAAGACACCCACTTTCACAGCTGTTGTGACTCATGTGACTTAGCGAGTTAAATTGCAGCAGGCCCCCAACTTTTGGCACCAGGGACCAGTTTCAGGGAAGACAATTTTTCCATGAACCGGGGGTGGGGGAGATGGTTTCAAGATGATTCAAGCACATTGCATTTATTGTGCACTTTATTTCTATGATTATTACATCAGCTCCTCCTCAGATCATCAGACATTAGATCCCAGAGGTTGGGGACCCCTAAAAACATATAAGAATTGCCCACTGGGGTCCTGGGTCACATGAGGCCCATGTCTTCTGCCGCTCCCCCCACACACACACCAAATTCCAGCTACTTCCTTTGTCCACAGGAGGACCTGGCTGGGGCCAGGCACTTTCGCAGATTCTCTGCTTAGCTCCACATACCTCATGGTTTCCAACCTGCCTCTCCAAACTAGCCAGATCACGCCCAGCCTGGCTGCACACTCAGCTACCAGAATGCCCATCCCTTTCTTCTCACCCAGTCAGATGCCCCCCTCCTCCAAGCAGCAGCCCTGATATCCTTCCATACACCTGCGCCTTCCAGACAGGTGTCAGGTAGCACCCCATTTTATAGCCCTGATTACATGCCACCCAGCATTTAAGTCATTACTGGGGGCCTTGTCTACCCCCCCACTAAACTGTGAGCTTATTTCATCTTTGTCTTAGCATCCAGCCCAAACCTGGACCAGAGTGGAAGCTCAGCAGAATGGAGTGGTTGAATTGAACTGGGCTGGGAGGGGGCAGGGAACTTGAGGATTTACCTCTGCTCATACTTCTCAGGCCGAAACTCCTCCATGGAAGCAGCTTCGCTGTCCCCTGTAAACACCCACATGAAGCCATTATTCATCATTATGGCTTGAGTAGGAGTTAGTCCCTCAGATCCTTTCTGGCTGAAAGCAGGATCTGATTGGGGAGGGGGGGGTGGGCAGCGCATGGCGGGAAGGAGAGATGGATTGATCTGGGGAGGCAGCGCTGGTCCGGGGTAGTGGGGGGAGTGTCTCTCAGTCTCCAGGAAAAGAAGGTTTTCTGGTGGAGAGAGAGGGGGCGGGTGGAGACACCAAAGGCAAGCACAGAGAGGGTGTGACGCTGCCAAAGCCACACAGGATGCCTCCAAGCAAGGCCCTCTGGGACTCAGGTGCCCCACTCCTGAAAGGGGGTTGCGGAGGGCTTTCCCCGGGCTCTTGCTTTGGATGGAATGGCTCCCCTGTGCTGCCGCGGGAGGGCCGGAGGGGTGGTGGGGTGGCAGGCTGGACTCTGTGCACCCAGGAAGCTGGGTCCTGGGAGCTCTCGAGTGTTTCTAGAAGGGTTGGCTTCCTCTCGGTCGGGGGTTATGAGGGCAGGGGGGCTGGGCTACAGAGATTGTGGGGCGGGGCGGGCAGGAAAAGCAGCTCAAGGGGTCCCTGTCCCTGTGGGCACATAGGGTGGCCCAGGACCAGTAAGAAAGGGCTGGACCAGGGGGGCTGAGGAAAAGGGATGCTAGGGTAGGAGAGGTGAGCGGTAGGTGTTCAAAAGGAAGCACGCGGGGCTAGCGGAGGGAGCGGGGGAGGGGCAAGACTGCTAGACCGTGGGCCCAAGAAGCCTGGGGCTACTCTTTCCTCTGTCCCAGGCTCACAGCAGGTGTTTAACTGGTACCTAAAAGGACAAAAAGATAGACCCAACCCGCCCCGACCCCGCAGAGCGCCTCCTCAGCTGTTTTCTTGTTTCTCTCACAGGCTCCTGGGCGGGACGGCCCCTAGTTCCCGAAGGACCAGCCCGGCCCCGGCCAGCACCCCTTCGGGCAGGAACCATGGCGCATCCCAGATTCCGGAGCCGCCGAGGCGCTGCCTGGTGACCCGGCCGCGCCGGCGCCAGGGGGGCGCGGGCGGGGACCTTGGGGGGCCGTCCATGCCCCGGGTGCGGTCGCGCCCCCTCCCCCTCCAGCCGGGCGCCCCCGCGGCTGGGCGGCGATCAGGGCCGCGGGCCTGTCCGGGTGCCCCGTCGGGGGCGGCGCCCCGGCGGCCGCGCTGAGCCCACCATGTGACCGCGGCGCCGCTCCGTCCTGGCCACCGAGCGGCGACACCCTGGTGCCTCCCGTCCATGCTCCTGGGCCCGGGCCCCTCGCAGGCCAAGCATGAGGCCGCGGCCTGAAGGCCGGGGGCTCCGGGCGGGAGCCGCGCTCTCGCCCGCGCTGCTGCTGCTGCTGCTGCTGCTGTTGCTGCCGCCGCCGCCGCCGCCGCTGCTGGGAGCCCTGTGGGCGGCGGGCACGCCTGCGCCGTCGGTGCAGGACGGCGCGCCCGGCGCTGGCCGCGTGAAGCGCGGCTGGGTGTGGAACCAGTTCTTCGTGGTGGAGGAGTACACGGGCACCGAGCCCCTGTACGTGGGCAAGGTAAAGGGGGACCCAGCACCCGCCATCCTGCTCCTAGGACCCCAGAGACACCCGCTGGCAAACTCGAGGGATCCCAGTTCCCTCCCACCCCCTCCCAACCCCCTTCTGCCTCCTCCCAGCTGCCCCGATGGGGCGGGCGGACCACAGGATCCTCACTCTGCTCGCATCCCTGCCCTGCATCCTTCTCTGGACCCTCTTGCTTTCGCATCTTAGAGCAGAGAGGACTAGTAGGGCGGAAAGTCAGTCCATCTTGTAGCTGGACCCAGCTAGAGTGCAGAATGCTATGCTATGCTAAATCTCTTCAGTTGTGTCCGACTCTTTGCGACCCCATGGACTCTAGCCAGCCAGGCTCCTCTGTCCATGGGATTCTCCAGGCAAGAATACTGGAGCGGGTTGCCAGAATGTAGAAAGGAGTTTGCATATCTGATCATATCACAGACTCCCTGCTATGTTCAAAATTCGTCCATAGCTTCCCATGCACTTGGGGTCAAGTTCAAATTCTGCCCTACTGCTTGCAAAGATCCGGCTTCTCCAACCTCATCTCCTGCCACACTCCGAGTTTTGGGCCACAACACCCTTCTGATACCTTTCCCTGGTCCCTCTGCTGCCCCCACAGGCTTCTGCCAGCCCCACACCCCCTTACCTACCTCGATTGCTTGCCTCCCCTAACTGCTCCATCCTGCTCTTTCTTTTTATTTATATTTTTGACTGCATTGGGTCTTCCTGTGCATGGGTTTTCTCTAGTTGCAGAGTGGGGGCTACTCTCAAGTTGCGGTGGTTTCTCTGGTTGTGAAGCGCACTCTAGCGTGCGCGGGCTTCAGTAGTTGCAGCTCCTGGGCTCTTGAGCACAGGCTCAATAGCTGTGGCACACAGGCCCAGTTGCCCCGCAGCAGGTGGGGTCCTCCTGGACCAGGGATCGAACCCATGTCCCCTGCATTGGCAGACGGACTCCCAACCACTGGACCACCAGGGAAGTCCCCATCCTGCTCCTTCTGTTGCTGACTTTATCTCATACTCAGGTCTCCACTGAAATGCCACTTCCTCAGAGAAGCCATCCCTGATCACACCCATCTGGGATGGATCCCCGTGCATGTGGCCCTTGAGGTCCCCATATCTTTCCTTCATAACACTTCATTATGTGTGTGTTTTTGTTTGATTATGCAATTAATGCATGTCTTTCCTATTAGCTTATGTTTGTTTTGCTCACCATAAAATCCATAGCACCTAGCACAGACGTTGTACACAAATTGTTCATTGAATGAATGAATGAATGAAAGCTACTTTCTCAAACTGAGGAAGCATTGGTTAATGTGACTGAAGGTCTATGCCTTAAGAGTATATGGAACTGAGAAGGACTTTCGTTCGTCCCTTTAATCCCTAAGCCCCTCATGGGTGTGATGGTGGAGAGGCAGAGACACCCTGGTGCATAAAAAGCTTCACAGGTCAGCACCTGGCACTGAGTAGGCATTCATTAAGTGGTATCTGTTGGCTGGTTTTGTGGAAGTGTTTTCTAAATGCCTGAGCTAGGTTTTAATATATGAGTAGGAGTTTGGGCTGATGGGAAGAGGGCATAGCCTATAAAAAGACTTGATGTCCTTACGGAACTTGGCTTATTTAGTCTTGTCAACAGTTGAGATGTTTATAGTGCATAAGGGAAGTGGGCTTCCCAGGTGGCACTAGTGGTAAAGAACCCACCTGCCAATGCAGGAGACAGAAGAGATGTGGGTTTGATCCCTGGGCCAGGAAGATCCCCTGGAGAAGGACGTGGCAACCCACTCCAGTATTCTTGCCTGGAGAATCCCATGGAGAGAGGAGCCTGGCTGGTTATAGTCCATGGGATCGCAAAGAGTTGGGCACAACTGAAGCGACTTAGCATGCACACACGCAATGACAGTTGTATATTTCATTACTCATAATTCAATGTTTGGTGCTGTGGCCTAACCTAGGTACAGGGGAAATGGAAATGAACAGCCATATGCTTGATCCAAGGCAGATTCTTAACCGCTGGACCACCAGGGAAGTCCCTAGTTGTTTATTGTTGTTTTCTCATTATTCCCATATGAAGCATTTAATTCTTAAACTGCAAGGTAGAAATCATTCCATTTTGTAGGCAATGGACTCAAGGTGCAGAGCAGGCAGGCATAGAGTGAGCAAGTGGCTTAGCAAGGATTGAAACCCGTGTGCTGATTCTCCAAACCTCTACAAGACCTCCAAACTTGGGAGAGAGATTTGGGTCCAGGAAAAGCCCAGAAACTCAGAGAGTGACAGACACGTCTACCTGATTGTCAGCTACGGTGGTCTCAGGCACCTCGGCCATGTTGTCTGCCTGCCAGCTGGGGCTCTGAGAAGGTCTCCTCAGCCACCCGCATCCTGAGCAGATGAGAGAAACCAGCTGCTGATTCATTCACCATTTCCCATCTGCATCCACCTAGCAGTTATTGTTGTGAGTCAAACACCACCCTTGTCTTGTGAACCACTGTCTCTAGGTGATGGGGGGCATACTAGTACCTGCCTTCCTGGTAAGGGGAAACTGCGGCCAGAAGAGTATCATGCCGAAGCCAGTCAGCTTTCCAGGGATTTTTGATCAGCAGAGATGGAGTGAGTGGTGGTGGAACCACCCCCAAGAGGTGAGGTTCTACTGACACCAGGTCTGGCCCCCGTGCAATTTTTTAATAGTTTTTTTTTTGTAATATCTTGACCCTATTTATTTATTTTAACTTTTTGGCCATGGGGCATATGGGATCTTAGCTCCCTGACCGGGGATCGAACCCACACCCCCTGCCGTGGAAGCATGGCGTCTTAACCACTGGCTCGCCAGGGAATTCCTCCAGTGCAACCTTTTTTTTAAACTTTTATCGGTGTATAGTTGATTTACAGTGTAGTGATAGTTTCAGGTGTTCAGCAAAGTGAATCAGTTATACATCTGCCCACTCTTTTTTAGATTCTCTTCCCGTATAAGTCATCACAGAGCACTGAATAGTTCCCTGTGCTGCCCAGTAGTCCTGTATTAAACACCCTCTATGGGCCCCGCACTGTGCCCAGCCCCGGGGGTCCTTCTCCTGGCAGCCTCTCCCAGCATCCCCACTGCCGTCATGACTACGTTATCTTCCCCCTCCATCATCTTCACCCAGAGCCCCTCCTCCCTCACTCTCAAGGCCACCTCCAGAAAAGCAGTCTGTGCAGGGAGAAGAGAGAAGTTTCCATCTCTTTGCGAACATGGGCCCAAAGCACCCTTTCTTGTGAAAGGTGGTATAGTGTGTGGTTCAGAGATATATGTATACGTCTATGTATACTATGTACATGTATAACTGATTCACTTTTCTGTTCAACTGGAGTCAGACTGCCAGGGCTCAAATCTCAGTTCTGCTGCTGATTCCTTTTCTGACCTTGGCACATTATTTAACCTCTCTCTGCCTAAGTTTCTTCATCTGCTGAGCAAGGCTGTACCTGGCACCTTCTCAAAGAGTTGCAGTGAGGATTCAATGAGTTAGCATATGCCAAGAACCTAGAGAGCACGTTCTATGTGCCCAGTAAGTATTAGCTTTTATTATGATGGATCTTGCCTGATTTTCCCCCTGCCTTGAGTATACACCGGTATTATGAACCCACGCCCCAAATCCCAAAAGCCTTCTTTGCAACCTGATGTGCTAGTTTCTCACCACAAGGTAGGGGGAGGTGGTCGCCAGCCCACCCCTCACTCTGGGAAGATGAGGTCGTCCTCTTGAAAACCACCTGTTCCCGTTCCAGCCAAGTCCCACTTTTGTACAAGTGGTTGTGTATGCACGCACACATACACACACATTCATACTACACGCTCTCGCTCATCAGGGAGAAAGGACTTCTCCACAGTTTCAGTTAATTCACTGCTTCCCGGTCCCCGCCCCAGGGAGCCGCTGGGAGCATCCGTCCTTGTCGAATTCCAAAGGTAGCTTAGCAACAGCACCATCCGTGGAGTGAACCCCAGGCGCCCAACGGTAACCTATTTTACAGCCGCCTCCTCCATCACTCACCACCAGGCTCCTGTCGGCACCTTTGGGAACCACTGGGCCCTGTGGTTGTCACCAGGGCCCCACACCAACAATTCCCTCTGCTGTCCTGCCCCCCCGCCCCCCACTCCCCCCAAGAGCTTGGGGACTGCCTCTTCCCTACACCTTCTCACAACTCCCACCCTCAGAGTGGCCTCCCAACATTTCCATACAATCTGGGTACTTTGACTAATCCCTTTTCCGAACTGTAATTTCCCCTGAGGCTTCTGTCAGCTGGATGTGGGTTTTGTAGGATTTTTAATTCTTCTTTTTTTTTTTTAAAGAGAATTATGGGGTCAGCACTTATGACCAACTCCTGTGGGCGGTGAGATCTATTTTAGATATACGGCAGGATTAAAGTGGGGAGGAGAGCAGATTTAATTAAGTTGCTAATATTTAAAGAAAATTGATGAACTCCTGGTTTACGAGTAGCACAGGCATGAACAGATCCCTCATTCTGGGGGACGCTTTTTATTTGATTTGCTTTCCGTTTAAATCCTGGACTTGTTTTATTTGCGTAGCCGCACTGTCCGTTTAATTGTCTTTAATAAGGAAAACGTACCTCTGCTCGCATTTAATTTTGATTTAATTAGGAGGAAGTAATTAATGGCCTCGTAAATCCCATTTTTCAGCATCCCCCACCTGCCCGCCCCCCCCAACTCCAGGATGAGAAGCCATCACTCTGGTGTTTTTCAAGTTGTTTATGATCCTGGGCTGGAGTTTAGGGAGGGGGAATCCCCTGCGGGGCTGTCTCCAATAGCTGCAGTGAAAAGAGCCCACGATGTGGAGGCAGACAGGCCTTGGGCTGCCTCTTGTTAGCTGTGTGGCTTTAGGTAGCATGTGTTCCCTCTGTGAGCCTCAGTTTGCCAATCTGTACAATGGGGAGAGGATGAACTCTGAGCCACAAGATCATTATGCAGTATTAAGGAGGTAACAGTAGAGGGTCTAAAAGTGTGCCTAGTGATTGTCCTTCCT